TTATTATTTTATCTTTAGACGTGACTTAACCGAAAGAAACAAAGAATAATTCCTGCAGTCACGAAAGCTCCAAAATTAAGATGGGATTCATATTCTTGGTTCTTTCGGTAAAGTCACGTAGAAGGGAAATTATAAAATAATAAAAACAAAACAATTAAATTCTCACGACGTTTCGATTGCAACACAAGCAATCATCATCAGATGTGAAAACCACAGCAAGAACATTTTCTTACGTGACTTTACCGAAAGAACCAAGAATATAATTGTCTGCTTGTACTGAGAGACAGAAAGAGAAACGCACGGATCAGAAAACATATGCAGGTTAAAGACATAATTATAATTCATCTTCTTGGTTCTTTCGGTAAAGTTACGTAGAAGGGAAATAATAAAATAATAAAAATAAAACATAATAAAATAAAATAATTATATTTCATTATTTTATTATTTCCCTTATACGTGACTTTACCGAAAGAACCAAGAAGATGAATCCCTGCAGTCACGAATGCTTTAAATCGAAAAATAATTATAATTGTTAATGAAAGTTATGTGGGCGTCGCCAGGAGGGACGATGGTCAATGGGCAAATCCAAGGGCAGAGTGGTAGCCAAAGGATGGAGCACGCTTTGAGAGGACGTCTACCGGGGGAGATGGAATAATGAAATGAGCTCTTGGCAGGTGCTGGGTACATTGTTGTGTCACAGGATGGTGAGAGATGGCAACAGTTTGGGGAGGCCTTCATCCAACAGCAGATTGTTTATGGCTGATGATGATGATAATAGTCCGATGTTTGGAGCGGTGGTGCTTCTTCCGAGGAGCAGAGCGAGAGGGCAGAAAGAGTGACTGGTTTTATAGTTGGAGATCGAACGTTACACTGTGGTTCAATGAGGAATTTTTCTTAAAATTGTTGACATGGGCAGTTATTCATTCATATACATTGAGTAGTAAGAAAACCCTCAGAAACGTCGAAAACAGAATGTACATATACACTGATTTGAAGTAAACGTAACATTCTTGAATGAACGTACGAGACTTTATCGTGGGAACGCTGACAACGTCGATGGATACGGATTAAAGGCCCATCGTTAAATTAACTCCATTCGTTATACTCGCACTGCTTGACTTTCCAATTCCCTCCTCCCATGGTCTCTCTTTCCAAAGTTCCAACAAATAAACCCTTGTTCAATTCAAGAAAGTATTAACTCTTATCTATCACGACTTTAATATCGCTGTTTGTTGCTTGGCCCTTGGTATTATTATTTTTTTGGTGAGCCTACAGGCCCGTCCTCAACAACAACGACTATAAAAAGTCAGCCTATTGTGCGGTTTTTTTTTTCATTTCCTGCAATGCTGCAGTGTTTATGATAAATGTGGCAAGGTTTTTTTATTTGCTTGCGCTTGTGCACCACGGACAACGTAGTCCCTTGCAGCTTTGTTTAATTTTCTTTGCTCAAGTCGGTGATGGATGTCTTCGGGACTAGGTCTGCTGACTGCTGGTAAAGCCAACTGCCCTGTCACATGTAATGCAATACTTTACTGTTACAATGATTTTGTTTATTGCGCAGCAGTGAAATGCAAAAATCATTTCTAGGCACTGAGCAGGAAATGCAATGAGCACCGAATAGGTGTTATACAAATAAACTCGACACATTCGTCAATAACGCCGTGACCTTAAAAGGGAAAACAAAAGTAGGCGACGTTTTGTGCAACGGCCCTCCTTCAAAGCACCAACAAGTTAGTAAACAACGCTAGAAAGGACGGTACCTGCCGGATTGTTGTCCAGTTTAATCTCTCAAATAGCAGTCACAAGGAACACGACATTATTATGATTGTGTTCTTATATAATCTCTCTAGCGGTGTCTCACGTCAGAGAACTCCAAAGCATATTTTATAGAAAGAAGAAAAAAAACCTAGAGGAATAAAAACATGAACAAGATTTAACGTGTTCAAAGCCCACAAAGCCATCCTTAATGCATGGAAACTGCACGAGGAGCGCTCCCCACGACACCCCACTGGTGCAATGCCCTCTTCCGTCTCGCCTCAATGGAACACCTCGGCTATAAACTGAGAAGGCTGCAAGATTTCCCCAAAAAAGGACGTGGCACCCATTTATGCATAGACCTCTTGAGCTCACTACAACGGCATCCTCCAGCCACTGAGGTGCTAGAGCGGATAGCGACTTGAGACTTCATTTGCGTGGCCCAATGTACAGCCCACCCCACCCACCCACATCCTCGGAACAAATCCTAGGTAACAATTTTTTTTTATTTTACCAAGTAAGGCCCACTGAGCTATACGGCTCTTTTTCATAAGCGACTAGGCCACAAATGATAGCTCAATGAAGTGGCTTATCGCGTGGAAATTTGTAGCAGCCAAATCCTCTAAACGCACGTTGTTTTGAAACGCGTGGGGGGAAAAAACAGAGGACCCAGAGAAAAATCCAAGCGACCATGGGGAGAGAGACCGGGTTGGGATCGAACCCACGACCTCCTGCATACCAGGCGAGATAAACCCCAGGAATAACAGAGGGACAAACTTGAATGATGTAATCCAATTCAGACAAGTTTATTGCCACAACTCTAACGATCTGGCAAAATAAGTTCTATTAAAACGGCAGGTGAAAACATGTGGATCTGAAGGCAATGGAAAATAATTTCAAATGAGATTATACGTTATTTTAAAGTTCTCCACCACATGCATATTTAAATGTACGTAGCCTTTGTGGTTAGAACAGTCTATTATAACGTGTGCATCACATCTAGGGTGCCCATTGCATTGTGGGGAGCGGTAGCACGCTGCGCTATGAACCCAGCGGCCGAGTTCGATTCCCACTCACGGCCAACACCAGTGACGATTATTTGAACCGGTCCTGCTCCTCCCCTAGGTCGACTCAGCCTCAAATGAGTAACTGGTGTGGTGTGTAAACATCGTCACTGGGGAGACAAAGGCGACCAGGTGTGGTGCTGGCCACCCAGCCCCTCTGGCCTTCATAGGTGCTCGCTCACAGCACTTGCCCAAACAGTCTGTTATAGCTATACGGGGGATCTGTGTCTTTGTCTTTTGTCATTACATTGTGGATTTTCCCAGTGTCATGCGATGTAACAATTACTTTATTGTAATCTTGGTGTATATTATTTGAGGGATAACTTGTAGTTGATCTATTTGGGAATATGAAGTCATGCAGGCACGAGGTTCTGTTTTTGTTTAGTTTTTTTTTGCCCAGAAGCCAGTCAGCCGTACAGTTTTATAACAACTTAAATTTGCATATCTAAGAAATTAGGATTTTATAGCAGAGAAAGTTGCAGTTATCAAGTTCCTATTAAGAAATCCTGCAGTGTTGTCAGAGACAATATAATTTATAGATATGTTTTAAGAAGGTTTAACATGGTCGGACATGCGAGAAGTGGAAATGAATTGGGGTCAAGATAGTGCAGAAATTACAAGCCCGTTTAAGTAAGTTTAATATTCGTGCTAAGGAGTTAGAGCATTTACAAATATTAAGTGGGTTATTAGCACGAAGAGGTTCTCCTGTGCCTGGTGTTTTAAGTGGTATTATAAAATGGGCAATCGTTGATATATTTGCCCAGAATTGAGAGGGACAATGGGGCCCTTGCTTGGAAATGAGTTGTAAGCAGCTCAATTAGGCTGCCCTCTGCAAGAAAGGACGAAGAAATGAAGATGTGTTTTGCGGTGCGGTCTTGTCAATACGCCATGTAATGCGGTAATGACTCGCCGGTAATTGAAAAGGAGAGAAATCTTTTGAGCGTGGGCGTTAAGCCTCATACCTTGCACAGACCCGTGCCACGCAGCATTTGTTTTTATTACTATTTTGACAGGTTTATATGCGACTCTCAGTTATGCCTCAGGGCATCAGTGCACAAGCAGACTGCGATTGCATCCGCAAGTGCAAATCTCTTGTCGCACATGGAATATTCCCGGTTCTTGAGCCACATTCTGCTTCTGGGAAGAAGGTTTTTTTCATTTCATGAAGCAGCAGTAGTTTGGCATTAAGGCATTATCCACAGCCTCGATAGCCTCATCATGGCCACATCATCAGACCTATAACGCCCTCATTATATTACTGTTGTTTTCCCCGTTGATTGCGTTCGCATTTGAAATCGCCGAGAATTCCCGACCTCATCAGATCTCAGAAGCTAAGAAGACTCGAGCGCGGATAGTGCCAGGCTGGGCATAATGCATAAACCATTTTCTCTAGGCGGCTGCTGTAGGGCTATATAATCAGCACGGGGCAGTGCAGCAATATTGTTGTTACCCTGTACTGTGCCCCTAAGCTGCCTTTACCAGCGGGCACTGACCAACGTGGTGAATCACAGTCGAATTGCTCCGACGAACCGTTACTCATCCGGAAAGTGGATTGAGAAAAGGGCTCTGCGTGGACATTTTTTTGTATGTGTGGGCTTTTTTCCAGCTGTGTGCGTGTGTGTGTAGCCTCCTGCACTCCGAACTCAGCTGTGGCTTCTACTGCTATGGGCATCTGCGCCGTGCAGCAAGGGCACTTGTTCCCGGATGCAATGGCATTCAGAAGCAGCCGTTCCATTATTAAACAGGAACACTCAATAACTTCTATTGCCAATTTATAATAAGTGCTGGGAGGCAGCAGCATCACTCAACAGTTTACATGGCATAATTAGTAAGAGAAGAAGATTGGAGAGGAAGACCCTCATGCAAAAGAGGCATCCGACCAGATGCGATTATAACTCTTGATAAGTGAGCCGTCAAAATGAAACCAGTTGGTCAGTTACCGACTTTCTGTGCTGCTATATACTGCCATTAAAGTTTGTAAGATGTCATCTAAATAAATAAAAACTGTTCCCTCGTCCTATCTCAATTCTATATTTGTATCTGTCTCTCCGTTTCTCTCTCTCTCATCTCTCTATCTCTCTGTCTGTCTGTCTCCTCTCTGCCTCTCTCTCTCCGTCTGCCTCGTGTCTTCCTCGATCTCTTTCTCTTCTCCCTGAATGAAAAAAACCAAACCCCCATCAGTTCTTCCCGTACGGCGACGCGTCCAAGTTCGCTCAGCACGCCTTCCGGACCTTTGACAAGAACAGCGATGGCACCATCGACTTCCGGGAGTTCATCTGCGCGCTGAGCGTCACGTCCCGCGGCAACTTCGAGCAGAAGCTCAACTGGGCCTTCAACATGTACGACCTGGACGGGGACGGATACATCTCACGCGTCGAGATGCTGGAGATCATCGAGGTGCCGCTCTCGCCCCCCCCCCCCCCCGCACTCGCCCACCACTTGCCATCGCGCTCTGATTAATTCCATCCACGGTTATGTTGCAAATTCACTCTGAGTGCCTGTGGGGAGAAAAACCCTACCTGGAATGCGCCAAAACCTCATGAGAACACGAAAGCTAAGCAGGGTTGGACCTGCATCGAGAAGCTGTTGACTGCTCTGCTAGGTAGTACAGCAAAAATCCGCTGTTGCACTGTGTTATGTCCCAACAACTATGCTCCCCGCCTTCACCAACTCAAACTAATCAGTGTGGTGAAGTATGGTCAAATAACCCCAGTGACCAACACGGTGTGAGGAGGCCTTCATCCGGCAGTGGATTGATAGAGGACTGTAAATTGTGTTGGTATCAGGACACAGGACAAAACTCTTTCATGTGAAACTCTCACAGTTGGCAGTACATCACATCTTGGCTCCGGCTACATCACTCTGAATGCCCCAGATCTTGTCAGATCTCGGAAGCTAAGCTAAGGTGAGGTGAGCCTGGTTAGTACTTGGATGAAAATAAGGGAATACCAGGTGTTGTTGGCTTGGGCAGGGGTTTGGCCAAATGGTGGTAAAGAAATGTATTCATACATCTGTGCAGAGGTTTGAGTGTTACCTTCTCAAATTATTGATTCCACCCCCCCCCCCCCCGGGACTCCGGTTTCCAATGGGAATTAGCCACTAAATCTCACCGTAGCACCTTCTGGAAGATAATGTAAGACTCAGCAAAGCTTTAGTGTGTAACTAAGAGACATTACAATGGTATGGATACGATTGGAAAAGTCACGTAGATAGAAAAAATAATAAAATAAAACACAACGTTTTGGTCGCAACACAAGCGGCCGTCTTGCGCCCGAAACTTTGTGTTTTCTTTTATTATTTTTTTCTATCCACGTGACTTTAGCGAAAGAACCAAAGAGTATAGATTCCTGCAGTCACGAAAGCTTCAAATCACGAATGATTGGAAAAGCCCATGGAATATAGCACTACGTGCATATGTTGGAGTCACTTTAATGGATTTCTTACCGACAGGAGACAACGTTTCATTATGCCCTGTAAAGAGCGTTCATCGCATGGCAATCAACTTGAACATTGTATTGCTCAGAGTAGGAGTTTGCTCAATAAAGTGAAAACCAACATTTTATGACGGTACTTGCGTGTGCAGTCTGGCAAATGGACTGAGAACATCAAACACTCATGATTGTTGACTGGTAGTGATGACAACATCACACATTGTAAATATTTGTCAACAAGGTATTTTCAAATATTTCTCTGTGGTCATTCGCAAATAACTTTGGTAATTACCTCGTATAGGAATTACCGAGCAGAGGCAGCAGGAATCCCAGCACTGCCTCTGAGCAAACTGGCTGAGTGACAGACACCCTGATCGCTACGCCTACCCAATGTGACATCCTTCCAAGTCGCCCTGCAATCACACGCGGCTCCGTCTTCTTGGGGCACTCTCTTCATGAGAAAACGTAGACCTGAGTAGCTGTACCGGATAGGAGCACCCATACCAGTCACGTACTCGGCGACACAAAATGTGCTCCCTTCACCAACTCGCACTGACCGCGTGGTGCAGTATGGCTGATTTGCCACGAGCCTTGGCTCCATGAGACCTTGGCAGTTGTACTTCCGCTGACAGCTTCATTCGCCAGGCTCGCAACGCCTCGTTGTCTCTCACGGAGGCAACGGCGCTCCTCATATTAGCGCTTGGAATTGCTCCGACGCGTGTCTGATTTGACGAATCCCTACCCAGAGGAGAAATGCGCGTCGATATGCAGCAACGCAGAGTGAATACAATATATAATGTGTGTACACACAGACAGCACATGAGTGCACTAGGCAAGGACGTGACCTGTTTCCAAAATTGTCTAACCTTTCGATACAATTAAATTCGGTTTGAAATAGCGTTCGCTCAAGATCTCCAGATGCTTTGTGGCACAGTTATACATCAAGGGTACGAGATAAGGCACAAGCAAGTCTTAATGAATCTCACCTCAAGAATCTTTGCCAATTTAATTAAAGAACAATCAGTATCTCCCTACAAGGAATGGTTACTCTTTATTTGAGACATTTGCCATCAGCTGTAGATCCATGTTTAAATGGTATTCAGCAAACAGCAGTATGTCAGGGAATTCTTGAGTCGATCTGTGTAGGGCTTTGAATATTATACCTTAATGTGCCTGCGTTTTCTCCATGTACTCCGGTTTGCTAACATATGCCAAAGATAAAATTATGGAATTGGTCAAACACCCCAATGCAGTCTTGAGACTCGGTGAAGGTTTTCTTATAAACGAAATCGTTATTAAATTTCTCTTGCTCCTACTTTCAGAACTATCAACAGCACATTGTTTGTCCCATCTCCCTTCTAACACTGTTGGCATTCATGACATGCTAAGCACCCATGAGCATTAAATGTGGCATTGCCTCTCAAAGTCTTTCGGAAAAAGCCTGCCACCCAAAAGACCGATCAGTGTTTTGTCAGCGAGGTAGTTTGGATTGTGCCACCGGCAAAATTATCATTTGTTTCATAAGGTGGTCCTGCAGTTGGGCCGTCACGCACTAGACTTAAATCATTTCCCATCGGATTGAAGCTGACACCTAAGTTGGGCAGAGAGTGTTGGTGGCTCAAATCCAGAATCGTTAATTGGGCAATGCCCAGTTTTCCAGTAACTGAGGCAGACCCAAAGCAGTGAGTAAAACAACTTATTTTGGTCCTATAATTTCATAGCACTGTATACATTTTTGCGTATGTATTCTGACATTTTCTTTTGCTCTCATTGAGAGAATAAATTCCTAACTTTAGCTTTGCTTGTTATCTGAACATTATAATAATCATATAAACCCTGCGTCAATCAACAATTAGGTAAAGGCCTTCCCATGCCATGTCATTCTTGGGGTTTGTTTAAACATGCGTCATCACGTCAATCAATACGCGTTGGTGAAGGGGGTGGCCCAGGATGGGCTTGGTTGTCACTCTCCACCCGCGTTCGCCACGGCCAAGAATCAAACTCAGGTCACCAGGTTCATAGTGTGGGGCATTAACTCTTGTACTACTGTTCTACCCCACTTGTTATTTGTTGTGCAAGATATCTGAAGCAACACAAATTGAATAACTATAGCTGCATATGTATAATACTTAGGCTGAATCTACCATAAGGTTGATCCTATCTGGTAAGCAATACCATTGATTGTCCAGGCCATAATTTAATGGGGCCAAATTTAAAATATCTGGGTGGTGACTATACTACACTAGGAACCTGGTGATCTAAGTTTGATTCTCAGCCACTTTTAAACACTTTAAATCTAGATCTCAAAACTAATTCCTTTAGAACTGCTTTTTGTGTTTAGTTTGCTGTCCTTCCGCTGCACCTCCGATTAGCACAGTTGGCTATGTACGGGACGAAAGAAGTTCAACACACATACATCAGTGGTGATATATGAACTAGTGCTTGGGCCCCCCTTTAACAATCCACACTGACCAGCGTGGTGCATTATAGCGAATCAAAATGTCTGTAATTATTATTTATTGTAAGTGAAGATTTGACTACAATAGTCCCAAATGTACGCTTTGTAGGCCTTCTATAACCTATTTACATTCACCAACCCACCAATGTAAGAACGAGACAAAGGTGAACTCCGTCGCGTCGTCCACGCGTTGTTGTTCTGCAGGCAATCTACAAGATGGTGGGCACGGTGATCATGATGAAGATGAACGAGGATGGCCTCACGCCCGAGCAGCGCGTCGACAAGATCTTCAGCAAGATGGACAAGAACAACGACTGCCTCATCTCCCTGGAGGAGTTCAAGGAGGCGGCACGCAGCGACCCGTCCATCGTGCTCCTGCTCCAGTGCGACATCCAGAAATAGACGGGGGGGGGGCGTTCCTCGCCACCGTCGCCGCCACTTGACCACATTTGTACGTTCGGGGGGGCAGTGCGCAGCGGTGGGTGGTGTCGAAAAGGAGAGGTGGGTTGGTGTGGCAGAGGGATTCTGTGTGGGAGGGAGGGAGGGTGGCATGAGTAAAGTGTTAGCACAAGAACGGTTTAGGTCTGGGATTAGGGTTCTAGCGATTTCTGCATCGTAATGGGGTTTTCTGTTTGCCTGTCGCTTGTCATTTCAAATGCTTGTTTCATGACGCATTAGTGCTAAGCTAAGAAGTCATTCATTACCTCGATCGATCTGTCAATCAATAGCCTTCATTCACAACCAGGTGACAGCCCCATCTGATATTAAATTTATTCTGTAAGCTATGGTCTAGGAGACTGTGCAAAGGTCCGTTATATTATATTTTCGTATTTGCCGTGACACAGGAACACACTGGCCTACTTGTTTGAATAGTACGATAGACATATGTTTTAGTGTCTGGTAAAAATGTAACAACTGACAATAAGAAGATATGAACATCTTTTATGGAACTCGTAAAAATTGAAAAAATTCAAAAGTATCATTAAAATGTTAAAAAAAACATTTTGATAATTTAACACTGTCACAAGTTAACAATTTACTACGATTAAAAAAACATTTGCCTTCCATTAGCCACAAAGCTCCATTATGCACATGGCACAACCATCACATTATTAATGAAATTTAGAATGTATTCTGTAATTAAACATTTGAAAACGTTTCTCATTGATGAGCACTTAGGAAATGTTCTATCAATTACATATCGACCACACAGAAACGGGGTTTTAATTTTCTTCTGGTGCAATGCTCAAGCACCCACCAGGCGACAGAGGGAGACCAAATTCTAATTTAGTTTGTTCCAGCCACGTGAGACTTGTTGCAGAGACACCATCGTCGGTGTCTCTGCAACAAGCGTGTCCTCCTTCCACCATCCTAGAAACTTCCACCGTGATCCCTTTCACACCTCCCGCCCCCGCTCCGCTCCGCTCCGAGTTCATCGCATTTCAATCCCAAGTCCTCTGAAACACCGTCGTGTTATTTTTCCGTTGTCCTTTGAGGGCACATCATCGACTCGCAGTCGCGGTACGGGTGACCGTGTGCCTCGGCCCCTTCAGCACAGTGGGCAGCGTAAAGTTGCGCGGCGTTCCGTGGCCGATTGTCGAGGTGAACCCCGTGAAAGAGTCGCGGGATGTTTAGTCACTTCCACGGTTCGAGCAGCCGCACAGGCACGCGCAGGCAAACGCTGCTGGCTCTGTCTCGCGGAAGATTTTCAAGTCATTTATCTGCAAATGTTACCGTCGCCCCCTGCACGCACTCACGGCAATGTCGCCTATCCCCCCGACTCCCTGTGCCGTCGGTGGTGGGCGGCCTGGCTCCTAATGCAATGATTATGTTCAATCCGTTTTGTTTATTCGTCATTGTGAACAATTAGGAGCCCTGAAAATTAGCCCAATGTAAAAGTGTAAAGACCGTATCACCAGAATACCCGGATTGAGAAGGGTCTCGCATCGTTAACGGCGTGGAAATGTATGGCTGCAATTATTTGTGGCTCTGATTTGGGATTTTTTCATTTCCTTTTATTGTTTTCCAGCATAAACGGCAATAAAAAATATCACGGAGCGCTCGTTAGAAAAAAAATTGAAAAGTGCCATCGGCTGAGTGGTTCACGCGGCTCATAATGGCCGTGTCGGAGCAATGAGCCAGCAATGCTGAAATCCTGGGTTCAACTTAACTGGAGGAATCATATTGACTGTTAAGACAAAAAAGTAGTCTTGGGCGGGATGCATTGTGAGAAGGATTGATGGTCCGATGGATTGAGAGGTCGTACTCAGATTGTAAATGCTGTGAGTTTACTCTCCAACACACAGGTTAGTGATGTACTAGCAAACAAATTGCCATGTTCCGTTTACGTGACAAACCTTACTAATTGGCTGTTTCGGGTGATGGCGGGTTTAACAACACATTTATATTTACGCTATCTAACCCAACAAACCTCTATTATGGGTTGAGACTGATGATGGAGTGGCAGCCAAAGGTAGGAAGATGCCCGAGATGGCGACCGCTGTGAAAACGTACTGATCAGATCAGCTCATGCAGATGCTCAAGATGGATAGTTGCATTGCAAGACCGTGACGGATTGTGATGACTTGGATAAATTACGGCTCAAGATGATAATACTTAATGGGCTCTCTCCCAAGTGCAATGAATTAATGACTTTAACCCGCTCTCCAAACAAGTGTACAAAATTACCATCGCTTAGCTTGGCTTAGCCGTTAGCTCTCTGGGATGATCGGCGCCGCACGAGCCTCCACTGATTGAAGGGGTTCAGAAAAGACAGATCGTCATCTCGAGCCATGACCCCGATAGCACGACTGGGATTTAATCAGTGGCGGAGAGCTAACATGAGCAGATACTTTAAAGTAGCGGAGCAACGAACAGAACATCCGATTTAGAAACCCCAAAAGAAACGGCAATTCCTTGAAGACGCTGGGGCTGATGTCGCAAATTGCCGTGGAGCCGGCAGGAGTGGGTTTCACACCGCGCGCACTCACGGCTGCTGGTGTGGGCACGCATAGGATGCGTGGGCACACACCGCGCGCAGCGTTCCGTGTGTCGGCAGAGAGAGAGGCCCTTCCTTCAGGCTCCCGCAGGTTGCGCGTGTGTTCTGCTGGCTGTCCACCCGGTCCGGACAGCCCTAAGTCTTGGAGCAGAACGGGCGTGACTCCACCACTGTAGTTTGCCCTGGGCCGTCTGCACGTTTCTTGTGCTCGTGTTACACGTTGCTCTGCTGCGGTGTTTATCGTCGGTGGCAGGTGGGATGAGCTTTGCAGCTATGAATACACCTGTATTTACCTTCGAGGGATGTTTTGTTCCAATTTCTTTTTTTAACACCGAAATTGGCTTTGTATGCGAAGTCGTCGGTGGCCGCACTGAGACTGTCAGACTCGCTATGGTCGAGAGGCTGCTTGAATGTTGATGGGAGCCTGTGATTGTACTCCGGCGTCTCAGAAGAGCTGACTACGTCCTGTGATTGAGACCTTCAGTCCTGCAGTGTAACCGAGCTGCCTTGTCGAGGGCGTCCAGTCCGCATCCATTTGTATTGCTTATCATCAAGTGCTAGATTTAACACGTAGGCTTTCGCGACCAATATCATCCACAAGATGTTTTTGAGTTAGATCGTGTAAATACTGTATATAAAAGTGTCGTTAAAAACCCGCCACCACCCGATACAGCCAACTAGTAAACAGAACATATCAATTCGTCACTAGTACAGCACACAACACATCTACGCCTCTATATAAGGAACGAAACAGGTGGACCTCTCCACAAATCTGGCTGCCACCTGATGATGCTCGTTGTAATTACTGGTGAAACGTCGTACTCAGTTTGTAAATGTTGTGGCTTGGCTCTCCAACACACCGGTGTGCTGTACTAGTACACTGCACTATACACTACACTATACACTACGCTACTATACACTATAGACTACACTACTATCCACTACACTATACAATATACTACTATACACTACACGATACACTACACTACACACTAGTGCTGTACTAGTGACGAATTGGCCACGTTCTGTTTACGTGACAACCCTTACTAGTTGGCCGTGTCGGGTGGTGGCGGGTTTTAACGACACATTTATATATGTATACGCGATCTAACCCAACAAAACAACTCTATTATGGAAGTGCTAGATAGCTCACTGTTTGGGCCATCGCCGCCATCATCGACATCACTGCGCTCGTAATCGCCAGCAAACATGGCGAGGCTATTCTATTTTAAAGCAGTATTGTATTTTTAATTCCACGGGATGCGCGCGTGGCTTTGCTCGGACGGGAGCCTGCATCATGAATTCTTGATGGGGGGCCGGCGGAGGGGTGGCTGGGTGGCTGGCTGGGGGGGGGGTTCTCCTCCGAGCAGCCACTAATGCGCCTTGAGCGTCCACTTTGGCGACATCTCGGCCGGTGCACGGAAAGCACCTGCAGCCGAGGGAGTTTCCGAGCACGGATCCTCTCCTGCACGCGTAATGGAACACATCCGTCAGGGGCCAGCAACAGCTGGCACATTCCACTTTACATTTAGAGTGGGCTGCCCCTCTTCCTCCGCCGCAACGCCCGCGATGCTGTTTACGTCCCCACAGTAAAATAGGCAGCAGTAACATACTTGCTCGGAAATTATATCTTTCTTTTTTTTATAGAACATGTGCCATGGGCTTTCTGCACTGGGGCGGATTCGAAGCGCGTGTGCCTCTCGTTGCGGTGTTTCGCCGAGACGTTTTCATGCCGGGTTAAGTTTTACGCGCTGAGATGATTGAGGCTTGAGATGAAATGGTTCGGGGAGAAAATATTATTGATGAGAATGAGAGTGAAGACTCGTAGAGGTGCCACGGGGGAGGTTTAGAAAGCAGCTACATACAGAGGATGATAGAGGGACCTCATTTGGCGTTCTCATAGACAAGCGTGTCAGGCCAGGATACTCTGCTCGCATGTACCCCTAACTATCTTTCAATTTGGCGCGCATCGCCTAAACCTGTTTGAGGTCACAGCAGGTTTTGTTTACTTGGCTGTGCGGTTCGTGGCTCATTTCCCCCGTCAGAGCCACGCACGGCGAGTTCATGTTCTGTTCCGTGCGGCAGGAGGGCAACCGGTTGTGTCTCCTGTGCAAGATGCAGTGGGAAGTTAAGTGGATCTCATATCAAAATACCGTTCCCGGCTCTCGGAGATAAAAACACAGCCAGCCAGCGGATATTGGGAGCTTTTGCCTCTGAATTTCACGAGCGCCAGCCATCTCCAACCAGGGTGCCCTTGCCCACATTAACCACGCAACATAAAACTGCCTTTAAACGCATGATGCTGAAACTGGCCGAAAGGATTCATGTACTGCAAGGGACTCTGGGAAAATGACACGGGCATGGCCGGTCAACGCAAGTGCCACATGCTTGGTTCAGACATCGAGGGGGGGTGGGGAGAAAACGATTGTGGCTTTAGAATGAAAATCACTCGCCGGGTTCTGCCCAATTAATGTTTACATTGCCCTAGGGCCGACAGTCTGTGGCCTGTTTTGCCAATGCAGGTTGTAACGGAAACAAGAGGCGCGTTGCGCTCGCATTTTATTTTGTTGTAATATCTTGACACACGTAAAATATGATACCGAATACTGGAATACCGCATTAAACACCAATGTTCACATGTCTGTAAATGTATGTGTATATACACAGTATATAAAACAGGACTCCCTTGGTAGACATTTTGTCTCGTCTCAGCAAGCTTAAACCTGGATAAAGGCTAAATATGGGAAGTGGATCAACCTCTTTATTCCTTTCACGATGTCACTGTCGGTCATGCACTGGGAAGAGACCAAGTGACTGGACAATCTCTCCGATGGCAGCAGCTGTCTCTCCAGTGGCTTACACTTGTCGGTATACTCGACACTATTTTACACTGCGCTGATAAACTCCAATTTCAAAATTGTTCTTCACTGCAAACATTCGGAAGTGATCAGTGAAACGCGCATGCGGTTCAGGATTGCTTTGAAGATTGACACTCGGGTGAGCAAGACACACGTGACTTATTTACACGAACCCTGAGTAATATTGAAGCATGCACACGCGCAACAGAGCCAGTGAACCACTGCGTATGTGTACATGGCATCTTAGCTCAGCGCCTGTGGCCCCTCTGCTGTACAAACACACGCAACAGATTGTAGGCAGTGAGTGAGTGAATTGTGCTCTATTTGGAAAACTAATGTATGAATCATGAGCATATCCAATAGGTTTTATTATTGACTGAATTATCCGTGCCAGACGACTGAGCTGCTTCCAGCCGTGCAGATGAGTAACGTTGTGTCTGCTACTTAAATCCTAAGAGCTGCGTTTGACCAAATTTATCAGATTTTTTTTTATATGAATGCAGTCGTCCGCGACCGCGCTGTGATCATCAACTTGCTACGGCTGAAACGCCTGGTTTAATTGCGCTTTGCTGCCCGGATATGTTGTCTGCTATTCTAGCACTGCGGGCTAAATCCTCCTTACATCGATGATGGCATTACCACGTCCTTGAACCACGGAGCCACCTCACGATTGTGAATCGGTCACGTGGCGTTTATCGTACTCGGTGGTGGGCGGCGGTGGTGAGGGTTAGAATCCCAGGCGCGCAGTCCACGTTCATCTGCAGAATTTAAACTTTGCCTGGCCCGGGTGAGAGTGCATGAGGAGGATGGTGGGTGATGGGTGGGTGGTGGGTGGTGAATGGTGCTGGGTGGGTGATGGATGGTGGGTGGTGATGGGTGGATGGTGGGTGGTGAATGGTCATGGGTGGGTGGTGGATGGTGGTTGGTGATGGGTGGGTGGTCGGTCGTGGATGGTGGTTGGTGATGGGTGGTGGATGGTGGTTGGTTGGTGGTGGGTGGTTCCCTGCCTGACTGCGGTGGCGCGCACGTCAAGCAGTCGTGTAGGAGCGTGCGGTTGAGGTACGAGGCAGAGCAGACGGCAGGGTCATATCGGCCTCCATCGGGCACTCGCTATAGCGGGGCATCTTTGTGCGTTCGCCAAGCCGATTGAATGGTGGAAATAAATAAAAATAGAGCCGCTGGAAGAGAATGCATTTCATGCATCTTGGCTCAGATTCGTAGTTTGCTCTACATCGGAGCTATTATTGCTACTCTTCTAAAGTTTCGATGGTTTAATCGTAGCACCAGTAAACAAGAAAGCCGCTTTTTGCGTTTCAATCTGAGGCAAATACAGTTTTGTAATTTAGTGGAATAATTAATATAGCATCGTTAAAAAAAATCCCTCCGTTTCCCCTAGGCTGTTTGGCTACCATGAACATTCTTGTGTAAACACAGATGCTTATCATTTACAGCTGAGAAATATGGATGCCCCGTTTTTAATATATTGGTTATAATTAATTGTAAGCAATATTTTAAATTGTATTATTTGTGCCAAGAGGAAAAACGGCAATTGAACCGTAACTGTAAGTAGCCAGATGTCCATTGCAGAAGCATTTTTTTTAAACTAAATTTACACTCGGCTGATTATATAACGGACGAGAAATCCCGTTCAAGTAAAAGGAGCTAAAGGGGCCTGTGTGACGTTGGTGGCTTCTGTAATTCTTGGCAGCCCAGGCACAAGTCGCGGACAGCTGCAAATCAAGCGCCCTCATCCCAAAGGGGCTTTCACCTGGGTTTTCAAATTCAGGACATCAATCAAATTAGCGGTGGCTGGCACTCGTTCCGCGCTTCGTGCGTGTCACGGACGCGAAACGTGTCGGGCTCACTCCTCGCAGGGGGAGTAGCGAGCGGTCTTGCGTAAAGGCGGGGAGGAGATTTATATTCTTGGGTTTTTTCGGTAAAGTCACGTAGGTAAAAAATGTAAATTAATAAAAGTAAAATAAAAATAAAATAAAAATCACGACGTTTCGGAGGCAACACAAGCTTCCGTTATTTTTATTTTACTTTTATTAATTTTTTTTTTTTACCTCCGTGACTTTACCGAAAAAACCCAAGAATATGAATCCTTGCAGTCACGAAAACTTCATATCTAGGGGAGGAGATTAATCGTGGCCGCGGTGTTGTTTCGAGTCGAAGTACTTCTTCACTGAGCACTCCGGCCGTGAGTCCCATTCACGCGTACGGCCACAGTGGCGGAGGTTGCGGGGTTTTATCGCATTACAAACTCTTGTAATTATGTTTATTATCAATGTCAGTGTTGCTGTCGTCGTATTTATTGTTGCTCTTTCTCGTGGGGGAAGGGGGGGGGGTGTTATAGTTGGTATCAATGTTATTATTCATTTTTTTTGCCGAATGTAATATTGTTATTCCTCAATGTATGATTACTAATGCCATTGTGGAAGATGTTGAGTTTTTTTTATTATAATTGCTGTCGCTATTTTTTTTATTGTTAATAGTATGATGTTTTCCAAATGCGGATCATAATTATTATTAATACCGTGACCTAATTCGCAGTTTTTCAATTATAAAATGTAATCATGAGCCACAATTTAAAGTGGTGAGCCTTTTTTGTAGCGATTTGAATATATATTATTATTGCTTGGTGACGATTTTGATTTTAGAATTGGCTTTGTTGTGCTGCACTGAACACACACACGCGTATGTGTTTGATAAACGCGTTTCAACCACGCTATAACATTTTATAGATCTAAATAGTCATTATGTAACCTCCCGGCATACTGCGTGTATGTTGTGTGTGTTGTGTGCAGGGACGGATTCCCTTGTATAACACGATTGTGATTATTACAATTTACAGATTATGGTGGGGGGGATGGTGTCAAAGCTATGTTGAACTGTTAGATGTAGTGCTTTCTCCGTGTGTTTTTATATATAAATATGGACTGCCCGTACTTAGAAATGCATGTACGTAAGTAATGTTATAACAATGAGATATTTAAAAGTGCAATAAAATGAGACACGCAAACTAGCGTCCGCTGCAGCCACTGTTAGTTCTCATCAACCGGAAAACAAAAGCAGTGTGTGTGCAACGATGAGACAACAACAACAACAATATCCACTGCATATTGCACACTGTGCTGCCAAACAACACGTCACTGGCTCGTGACGACACAATTCGGCTGCTGTTCGCTTGCATCCGCTGTGGCGTAATTGCGCAACCGAGATACATCTCAAAACACGATGACAGCAAAACATGCTCATTAAGGTTCTGAAAACATATTTGTCGTTAACTCGGAATGGGGGCGAAGGATGTAGACCCGTCGTGTTTTTATTGCGTTGTAACGTGATCGTTTTACTTGCAGACTCGTTGTCGGTAACACGTGGGCACTGCTCAGTCGTTGAGCCCCGATTATTGAGGAGCAGCGAACAAGGCGAGCCAGCGCGCCCGTGTTTTGTTAAATCAGCATTTGGCTTGATTCGCCTACGATCGTCAAAATGTACCCGAGTTGTGGACTATTCCTGCAATGCAGCGCAGCCTGAATTTTGTTTAGCGTCGGTGCGTATTATTGAGCGCGGCGAGTCCTGCACTTAATTCTAGATTTGAAGCTTTCGTGACTGCAAGGATTCATATTCTTAGGTTTTTTCGGTAAAGTCAGGTAGGTAAAAAATAATTAATAAAAAAAATCACGACGTTTCGGAGGCAACACAAGCTTCCGTCTTCAGGTGGAACCGTCACAGCACATCGTGATTTTTATTTTATTTTTATTTTACTTTTTTAATTAAAAATTTTTACCTACGTGACTTTACCGAAAAAAACTAAGAATATGAGTCTTGCACTGTGTGGCATTGCACACAAAAAAAGCACCGAGATATTACGGTTGGATTTTTTGAGGTCGTCCGACATACACAAACTGGGACACCTTCAGGGCTTGGCCAACTGTTCCTGTTTGCCAGTCTACAGATAAACGCGAGACAGAGCCGTGTGTGTATTGCTTACATTTCAAAGATGGTGTGCAGTCAAATGGGCCCCCAGATTTCTTCATCACATTGGGTGTCTAAACTGACCGGGTCTTGTTTAACGAAACACGGTCAATTACTTGTATCGCCCTGTGACAGCGTCCTTGTGGTTTTTATTTGTTAAAAGCAATCAGCATTTTAAATAAGTGGACAAAAAATGTGGTGATTTGTTAATTTTGTCTTAGAATTATTTCGAATGGATACATTTGTATGCTCGGCGAAAAATATCAAAGACTCTTGGTGGGGCCCAATTTAGTTTTTTCAGTGAATTAATATAGTAATAGATGGAAATGTCATAAATTAGTCAGCAGTCATTAATACAAACAGCCACTTCAGTACAAATACGCGAATTAAATTTTTTTTGCAGCATTGATGTTTGTGCAATTAATTTAATTGGCTGATTAAGGAAATTACACGATTATGCCTATTAGAAATTGGTGTTGTGCTAACACTACTGCTATGCAGATTAAAGTGTTCCGTGGCCACTCAATACAGAAAACATGAAAATGGAAACAATTATCATTAACGCTGCTTTGCCGTTAGTCGAGATGTACAGATGCATGAAAATATCCAAGCCTGCATTGACCGATTGTGAGGCCTATGCTATTCACCTGACGTTGGTGACGAATAGTCACAGCTTCTCCTGCGTAGATCTTCGCGGCTGTGACCGGCAGCTGTCCGAGATGTTTGCAGGCTTCACCGCACATTGTTCGGCATGATGTCTGATGTTTCGCTCCGCATGATGGGAGCAGAAAACTGAGTAGAATTGAAGAAGCTGCCGGCACGTGGAGCGAAATCGACATCAGGCTGGACAACAACGCTGTGTGTGTGCAACCCCAAACACATCGCATGACGGACCTCTGTTGGTAGCCTCTTGATCTACTGCTGGTTGACGTGTGGGGATGGAAATGATGACGTCGCCTCATCTCTTTGCGATCCGTGTGGACATCGACTCATCATCAAAATATTTAGTTGTACTGCAGGAGGAATCCGGTGAGCTGTAAAGCTCTTCTTTTTCACAGATGTCCAGTCGGGGCGCGTGATCAGAACGTTACAACAACAAACAATACAAAAAGTATAGGAAAGGTGAGCAAATCTTTGGCTCTTTTGGCAAAGTCACGTAGATAGAAAATAAAATTTATAAAAATAGTTTTAAAAAAAGAATAATATAAATAATTAAAATACTCACGACGTTTCTATCGCAACACAAGCAGTCGTCATCAGGCAGATGACGACCGCTTATTTTTTATTTTTTTCATTTTTTACTATATTTATACGTTTTATTTTCTATCTACGTGACTTTGCCGAAAGAACCAAAGAATATGAATTCTTGCAGCCACGAAAGTTCTAAGTCAATTTTTTTATTTTTTTTAACAGGTAAAGCCTACCGAGCTATTAGCTTCTTTTTTAGAAGCGACCTGGTCGCAAATGACAGCTCAACAAAGTGGCCTTGTGTGGACATTCATAGCAGCCAAATAATCTAAACGCATTCCTTAGGTTTTTTTTCGGTAAAGTCACGTAGGTAAAAAATAATAATAAAATAAAAATAAAATAAAAATAACGACGTTTCGGAGGCAACACAAGCTTCCGTCTTCAGGTGGAACCGTCACAGCACGATTGCTGTATCAAGATACAGCCTAAATAAGTGTATCAAGATACAGCAATCGTGCTATGACGGTTCCACCTGAAGACGGAAGCCTGTATTGCCTCCGAAACGTCGTGATTTTTATTTAATTTTTATTTTACTTTTATTAATTTTAATTTTTTTACCTACGTAACTTTACCAAAAATAAACCTAAGAATATGAATCCTTGCAGTCACGAAAGCTTCAAATCTAGAATCTAAACGCGTGTTTAGCCCCAGAGCACGAGACCTGCCCTTGCAGCTAGAAACGTTTCACTCTGCTGCACGATTCCTGGTGACCAAGTCACGTGTTGCAACCTGCAAGCTGTCTTGTTACAGAAACAGAGAGTTTGAAATCCAGGCTGTTCTTTTCACGAACCTTTGTCAAATGATCAAATTACCCATGTTCTCGTGATCACAACATTTTTGTTACGTTTGATTGGATTTAAATAGCGAGAGCTCTGGCCTTCAGCAACTATTTGTCTGTTGACGGTACAGCAACAACGTTCTGCCCTGGCCAATTGTTCTGCATTTCAATTAGCGTTAGAGTTAGGCCAACTGATTATTTTAAGTAATCGATTTCAGAGTATCGGTTCAATTACTTGGCTAATCGGATAACGCGAGAGAAGTTATAAAAAAATTTGTTGCAACAAGAAATTCTCACCTCGATTCCCACGTGTGCCGCTGGACGGGAGGTGATGGCCGGGACTTGGTGACATCATTGGTATATAATTTGTGTCAAGCTCGCTTGTCTCGAAGAGGGTTTCCTGCCTTCGGGAGGCAGGATGTCGGAGCATCCCTCGTGTTAAAATGGCCCAAAAGTAATCGCTCGCAAAAATATGTAATCGATTATACCGTTTAGTTGATTAATCGCCTAATTGTCCAAGAACTAATTTCAATACATGTGCAGCAGGATACCATTCTTCCAAATGCAACAATTCACCGAATGGTCTGCAGCCCTCAAAGTTCCACCTTTGTGGTTCTTAATTAAGAATACTCTGACATTTTCCATGAGGTGATCTTTTTTTCATCATTGTTGTCAAAAGGGGGAGTGAAAATGAAAGGGGTCATTGAAGAGGAATACGAATGGCGATGGAAACAGTGACATACAATGCGGCTCATAACTGGGTCAGTTAATGCGATGGATTTTCCAGTGCTCAGGTGATGACGCATGCAGGTGGACTAATTGATAATTGGAATGCAAAGGCAGCAAGTGGTGCCGCTTAAATTAATACCGGGCTCCCGCCAGACCAGTTCTCTGGGAAGCTGCGTATGCCTATCAGGTGGAGAAATCGCTGATAATGATGAAGCCAATGACTGCCAGCACATTCCAGTGAGGTGATTAATCCACCTGCGCGAAACCACCTGAGCATGGAAAAACCCAAGTCAGAGGAATAGAAAACTCATCCACAAACAATGGATTTAAAGCTTTCGTGACTACAGGGATTCATCTTCTTGGTTCTTTCGGTAAAGTCACGTAGAATGGAAATAATAAAATAATAAAAATAAAACATAATAAAATAATTCTCACGACGTTTCGGCCACAACGCAAGCAGCCGTCTGTCAGAAAGACAGCGTCTGAATGAACACCACCAGGCTTGGCAGCGTACATTTAAGCTGGCAAGCCTGGTGGTGTTCATTCAGACGCTGTCTTTCTGACACACCTGTTCTTCACCTGAGGACGGCTGCTTGCGTTGTGGCCCGAAACGTCGTGAGAATTATTTTATTATGTTTTATTTTTATTATTTTATTATTTCCATTCTACGTGACTTTACCGAAAGAGCCAAGAAGAACACAAACAATGGGTCACGAGCTGCCACTGGTTGCAGGAGGCAGAATACCAGACCATCGAGTACACCTGGGGTCACACACTACTTTTATCCACAAAAAGAGGGATTTTTAGCGTCTCCTGCAACCAACTTTTATGCCTGTGGATGTAAATTTTAAGTGGTTTCCTGCCACGGCAGGGCTGTAGGGAATCTCACACAGATGCGCTCTAGTTATCTGGTAGATGTGCAAATATGGGTCAGAATCCCTCCCGAGGATTGGAGTTTGAGTGTGACAATGGCCATCATAGACTGCACCTATTTTTAGAAATGCATATTTGCATTTGAATTGAATCGACATTTCCACTTGAATGGAGGAGAAGAGCTGATATGGGGAAGGGATTTGCATCCTAGTCGGTCCCGGGGAAGCATGATTTTTTAATCTTCATAAATATAAGCGTATTGATTGGCAAGGGTCGATGTAATCCATTTGACATTGTGTTCAATTCGATCAAAAATAAATGCTATTGTTCCGATTAGACTTCATCGTAAAAAATATGGTTCAAGCTTTACCCCAGGTCAGTGATATAGCAGTCCAGGTTTTACATATCCAGCACGAATAA